AAGGTACCCCCTACCGTCAGCACGGGACCCCCCTACCGTCTGGACGGGACCCCCTACCATAAGGGGTACTGTAAGAGATAGGTACTGCCAGAGAGTTTTGGCCTGAGAAGGTACCTAGCTGTCGTACGGGACCTAGCTACCGTGACAGGGTACCGTTACCGTTGGAACACTATTCCTGATTGCTGATTTTTGAATTAATTCAACTCTAATCACCTCCTAACGGCTAATTAACATCTTCAACTATAAATATAGGCCTAATACTTCATATTTCAACAAGAAACAAAGCTCCAAACATCCTCCCTTTATATTTTAAGTGTGCTCATACTTTTATTAATTATTTTCATTATTTTGGCTATTTCAAGAGCCTTAAGATCCTGAATTTTATACACACACTTTGATCTTGTGTTTCTAGTTATATGCTCTCATATTCATAAGTTTGAATTGCATTTTTGAGAGAGTATACTTTCCCTCTACACCGGCTAAGTTTTTTTCTTCATTTTTAATTTGTATTCAAGCCATTGTGTCGAACTCTTGTTTGTGTTCTTCAAATACATCTTTATACGGTCGAGAATAGCCGTTAAATTCTCATATTGTATCGGTCGAGGATAGCCGTATAAATTCTTGGGTAAAGGTTCAAGGATAGCCTTTGAAATCCTTGGGGGAACGGTAGAAGATATCCGTTAAATCTTCATTGTAAACGGTTCGAGATAACCGTGGTGAAATCTCGGAGTGAATCCTATTGGCAAGGGTTGTTTGCCAAACTAGTACGGTGCTTTGACGGAGTTCAAGAGACCGAGACTTAGTGGATTCAGAAATCCTTGAGGAGGAGCCTCGAGGTACTGGAGTAGGGAGTTCCCGAATCAGTATAAATTCGGTGTGCATTTTATTTATGCCTTTATTTTTGCATTTTATATATTGCTTTCGCATTTGCCAACACCGTTTTTATTAAACTCCGAAAAGTTTTCAAACGCCTTATTCACCCCCCTCTAAGGCGTGGGCACAACGACTAAACCGACTAACAAGAATTTCCCTATTTAGTCCATTATTATCAAATATTAGCCCGGTGGTCCCTCTTTTATAGGTATCTTTCTACAAATTGTTTTTTTTATTTTTTATCACTTTGGTGTTAGTTTGAGGGCTAAAAGTGTAATTTCACAATGATAATATATCATTCTTGTCATACAAAATTCCAAAGGCCGCTTCTGATGCGTCGTTGGTGAATTAGCGCCATTTTTTACTACAACCATATATAGTCTACAGATGTGGTCTTTTGTCGGAATCATAGCGCAAAATCATATTCATTATTTTTGTGTTATTTGTCTAACCAATATCAAAAGTCAAAATACGTCACTGGACATAAAGTTGATGTCAAATTATACTTTTAACCTTTAAATTAACCCCAACATTGTTAAACATAAAAAATGACTATTTTTAGAAAGGTATCCATAAGAGAATAATACTCCCTCCGTCCCAAAAAAATTTACACGTTTCAAAAAAATTGCGTCCCACAATCCCTTACCCATTTCTATTAAAAAACTACTTTTACCCCTTACTTTTTCAAACCCTACATATCACATCCTACCTTTTTTCTAATAATCTACACATCACATCCTACTTTTACCCATCACATCAAGGGTATTTTTGGAAAGTCAACACAAAATTATCCTTCCCTTAATTTCAAATTTAGTCAAAATGGGTAACACTTTATGGGACGGAGGGAGTATTTGATAACAAAGAATTGAATATGGAAATGCTTCAACTATCAGAGTTTTAATTTTTGGATGTTGGCATCCGCCAATTCAGCTACCATTTTCCAAACGTGATTTATGGTCTTTTCTCTTTTGGCTTGGCCAAGAAGCTCTGTTGGGGCACACCAGCTAATTTTTGGCCAATCAAACAATATCCAACCACCCCCTAATCCCCTTTAAACCGTGTTGTGTTACTTGTGTCTTACTAAAATAAGTTAAAGAAAATAATTATTATTTTTATTTCTTAAACAATAATTATACTATTTGAGCGTAGAGGAGGATGAACTCTATAGAACATGTCAATCTAAGCGATTTATCAGAAAAATAATGTTTCTTGGGGTTGTTGGAAGACTTATAATTTCAGACGATGGAGAAGTAATTTGGGATGGGAAAGTTGGGATTTTCTCATTTGTAGAAAATGTTGAAGCAAAGAGGAAAAGCAAGAATAGGGAGGCAGTTTCTCTAGAAACTAAACCAATATCAAGTGTAACCAAAGAAGTCTTTAGAAAAATGTTGCTACACAAGGTCATACCTGCCATCCAAGAGAAGTGGCCAACTTTCATGAGCAAGGAAATTATAATGCAGCAATACAATGCTAAGCCACATATTTTGGGAACGACATAGACTATGTCATGGCAAGCACAACTAATGATTTCTAGATTTCCCTTACAAACCAGCTCCCTAATTCCCCTAACCTAAGCATTCTAGGTTTAGGTTTTTTAGAGCCATACAGTCATTGAAAGACAAATCAACTCCAACAAATTGATCAAATGTCATAGAGTTGATGAAGGTAGTACAAGATGCATACAATTAGTTCTCACCTCACACCTTAAAAAAAGTGTAACTTATTAAAATGTCATGGAAGAGATAATGAAAGTGGATGGGGGCAATAACTACAATTCAAGCTGCCACACATAGGCAAGGAAAGTATGGAAAGAGAGAGGAGATTGCCTTATGTATTGCAACTACAAGAGGGATTGTATGATAGAACTGTAAGAAGACTCAATGTGTAGAATATAATGGGCCAGCAGTACATGTGCTGGAGACTCATGAAAACATATTGGATGCGTCAGTTCATTCTTGAAGAGGATGAAGACTTCATTCTTCCAGAATGAATTAGCACCTAGCAGGACCTAGTTGTATTAGGACTTTTTGTGTATGTATGCTTGTGTTTTTTGAATTTGGGTTTTTTCTTTTTGGGTTTTTGGATTTTGCGGTTTAGAAGCAGTAAGCATCACACATGCAAATTGTACTCAAATATAAGTACTTGATATGGAGTAAATGTTTATCATCATTGTAGTTTTAGAAACACAAACACACACAATCAGAGACCTCATCACAGCATGCTCAGGGGTAAGAAATGGACAAAATTTCATTTCTGCACAACTAACCTCATCATAGCATGATCAGGGGAATCAAATGGACACAAATGCATACACACACTCAAAATTATCATAGCATGCTCAAGGGTAAGAAATGGACACAAATGCATACACACACTCTGCAAAGGGGCACACAGTTTGAAAGGTCACATGCACAAGTGCAAAAAAAATTAAATCAGCCATCACAGCATGCTCAGGGGTATGTAACACACAAAATTTCATTTAGGCACAAGTGCACAACTTTACACTCAAAATCAGTAACTCATCACAGCATGCTCAGAGGTAAGAAATGGACACAAATGCATACACTCACTCTGTAGAGGGGCACACAATTTGAAAGGTCACAGGCACAAGTGCAAAAAAAATTAAATCAGCCATCAAAGCATGCTCTAGGGTAGGTAATATATACACACTACTTCATTTAGGCACAAGTGCACAACTTAACACTCAAAATCAGTAACTCATCACAACATGCTCAGGGGTAAGAAATGGACACAAATGCATACACACACAACCTGCAGAGGGGCACACAGTTTGGTAGGCTACATGCACAAGTGCAAAAATTAAAAAAAGGATTCAAAAACCTCATCACATATGCTCAAGGGTATCACACAAATGCACACAAGCACGAGCATAAGTAAATACTCCGTAATCAAAAGCAGAAACCTCATCACAGGCACAAGTATAGTGACAGACCAACAGAAGCACAAACATCATTACGAGATTCTTAGGGATCTAAAAAATTCAAATTCAGAAGAGATATGGATTACTTGGGTGTATCCCAGCTTGGAAACATAAGCTTTAGGATGGTGTCACACGTATGCTTTTTAACACACACGAAGCCAGACTTGGGAGCCTTCAAAGACTCAAAGGATTCGTCCTCTTCCTCTCTCTGAATCTGGAACCGGCTCTCCCACCGTCGCACCCTCGTGAGCTTTAACTTTTGAGGGAAGTTGCTCAATCACCTCCACCCCAGGCGCAATTATGTTTTTTCAGCATCATCAGAGTCCTCCTGATCGGTGAACACATCCGGAGTTTCTGGAATTATTGAAACGGAACACAAATCTTCGGAATCCATAGGAGCGCAACTGTTTGTAGGGATGAGAGCAACTTAGGGGATGCAAAAGAAATGTTAGATGTAGATCTAAGAGATCATACAAATGAGTCAGAGGCGAGTAAGAGAGAGGAGGCAGAGATAAGAGAAATGAAGAGATGAAATGGGAGAGCTTTTAGATTTGGTAAGGATGCATTGATAACGAGGGGTCGAAACTTGGGGAAGTTGGGTGGTTGAAATTACGGAGTAATTAAAGTGGGGTGTGGGTCAGGGGTATTAAAGACATTTCATTTAATAAGATTCTTTGCCTAATTTAGAAAGATGAAGATTATTTATGGACAGACCAAAATGGAAATTACAAATATTAAAAATGGACGGAGGGAGTAAGTAGATAGAAATTCGTATGATAATGTCCATAGGAAAATGCTAGAATCACAAACAAATAGTTCACAAACTTCACAAACTTGCATTTTGTGGATTAAAAATTAAAATATTTTTTATTATTTGAGTGCATCTTATTTATAGGAAAATGTAAAAAATGCAAGTTTGTGAAATTTGTGAACTGTTTATTTGTGACTCTAGCATTACTCATCTCCATAATTAAAGACGGTGGATCTTACATTTGGGATAGAATTAACTTCTCATATTCTTGTAAACGTACACCAATGAATATTCACCTATATTATTGGTTGATAGAATAATTAATTTGTTGTTCAAAAAAATAATACTACTCCGCAATAGAATAATAATAAACGTCAGATCTGTAAGAGACAAAACAGTATATAACAATGTCGTATAGGGTCACTTGCCCTTCCCTACGAACTTTCATCCCCATTCCCAATTCTTCTCACCTTCCTCTTTCTTTTCTCATCAGCAAACTCCTAAAATTCCTTCAGGTTTTAATTAGGTGTGAGGAATTGGAAACTCATCCATATTATTAAATCCCCAAACTCCCCCCCTTCTAGGGTTTGGTTATATATAAGTTGGACGAGTAAGAGATTATTGTTGAAGAAAAGGAGGAAATGAAGAAGAGGCAGGTTGTGGTGAGGAAAGATCTAACGAGGAGGAACACCGGCGTGGTTTCCGGCGGCGGCACGAGCGTCCGTTACGTGGAGTGCCAGAGAAACCATGCCGCCAACATCGGCGGCTACGCGGTGGATGGCTGCCGGGAGTTCATGCCTTGCGGCGGAGAGGGCACGGCGGACGCCCTGACTTGTGCGGCGTGTGGCTGCCACAGGAACTTCCACCGAAGAGAAGTCGACAGTGAGGTTTCTGATCAGTCTTCTAATTATTAATCCATTTCATCAAAATCCCATTCTCTTCATACATACATACACCCATATTATCCATATATCGTCACCACCACACTCGTTCCCCAAAAAAAAAAAACAAAAAGAATTCCATGAAAAAAGGGTGGTTAATTATTGATATATAAACCCTTATTTGATTGTCTTTCCGTCAGTTAAATCATTGTGGCTTAAAAATTTGCTACTTTTGTGATTGAATTGTGTATATTAATTTGTTCAACAAACCTTGAAGGTTTATTAATTAATGCATTCTATATCAATATACTCCGTATTATTCAGCTATAAGCAATTTCTTTCCCTTGACTGATTTTTGCCTAGATGATACTCTTTCCCTCCCCCATAAAAGTAGTTCTAATTTTGGTTTATTTACTATTTTTATTAGAGTTATATTTAATTCAATTTCTATGAAAATTAGTAGAAAACTAAAAAATATAAATTATATATGGAGTATTCAAAAACTACTTCAAATCAACTACGTTACTAGTTACTACATCCCTCTATAAATCTCTTGCCTATTTTGAGCTTTATGTGATTTAAAAAAGAGATATTTTTGTATTGACTTTTCGAAATTATTGTTGATGTGGTAGGTAAGAGTAGGATTTGATGCCTATATTATTAATAAATAGGTGTATGATATAATAAGTTAGGTAAAAATTAGTGCGTGTAAAAGTGATTTTTATATTAAGGAGAAAAGAATTTTGGGACAAGGTAATACCCGAGTAAGAAATAAGAATGACTTTTAAGGACGGATAAATTAAAATATAAGATAAAAGAAGACATAACTGTTTTATTTTCATAAATGATTAACGAAAATATGTTATAACGAAGATATAGTTTGCTTTTGTAAATAGTTATGTAGAACTTCTTTATGGGACAAATGGATAAGCTAAGTTTAAGGAACCAATTTAACCAGGTGCTTAAACACATGGTCGTAGAGTACTCATCAAAGGTTTTAAATTCTAACACAGTCTCATGTGCAGGTAAGAGTGCGAAACTTTTGTGGTTACTTCGAACCTTACACGTGAAATATTAATTTTTGAAAATTGAGTGACAGTGATGTTTAAACGTACTCTTGATGTATTCGTCAATAAGAGTCCGATACTATGTAAAGAGTCAACTCAAATTTGTGACTGTTGTAGGTTCAAAAAAGATTTTATACGGAGTTTATATATGGGTTAAGTTTAAAAACCAAAAAAAAAAAGATTATTGGTTAATTTATTTAGTACTCCGTAGGTTATTTTATTTTTATGTGATGACGGTTGACTTTTCTTCCCATTCACAGTCAGTCATATGTTTTTGCAGCAGATTTAATAATATGATGATAACAGTTAACGGTGGGTATATACGTACGTATTTGCACAAATTAATTAACGTATCTTGTGAGAGGACGACAAATACAAATGTAGAAGTCGGAATCTACTCCGTATCATGTGTGTGTTTTTTTATTAATTATGTATAGACAAACAACATTAGTTATGTATACTTCAAATGATTGATTGGACACACAACTGATGAGGGCTTGCTAGTCTGTTATGCTTCATTATACACCATACACCCATGTTATTTTTTCTTTTTTATACACCCATCTTATTTATTTTCTTTTTTATACACCCACGTTATTTCTTTTTTTTTTAATTTTTAAATTAAAAAAATTTTAAAAAATTGCACAAAAAAATCATTTTAAAAAAAGTAATGCATATATACTAACGAAGGAACAATTACTGCTAATAATTAAATTAAAGATTTACATACATTCGCAGATTGAAACTTGAAACCAACTGTTTATCTTCAAATATTTTATGCTGAGTCTCGTTTGCAAAAAATATACATAAAATTAAAAGTATATGAAGGTTCAATTCATTCAAGATTTGTGTAGAATATTATATTGGAAAATATTCTATAACTCCTTGCATGCAAATCATTGAGTTTCTACATATATAGATGATAGATCCATATTCTTTGTCACATGAATCAGTCATTTTTCAATTTATCTTTTCTCAAGGAGTTTTCCTCCAGTTCTAGGGGACCTCGCCGGATGGGGTTCATCTTTTCTTTCTTTTTTTTTTTTGGAGAACTTGGTCTAGCTTGGATAGCTAAGATAGAGATAATGGTGGGGGTGTGGGGGTGGTGGTGCATTATTAAAGTCCCTATAGTCCATGTTTTTTGAGCTTTCACTAGTGTGCATTCCAGATAATATGTGTCCCCTTTGTCAATATGTTCTTGACATCAACTGGATGGCTAGCTAAAGATTGCAAATTTTTCTATTCCAAATTCAGGGAGACCATATATATATTTTAGGGTTTTATTAGTCTGGCCCTTTTTGGCAGTGAAAGGAACCAAAAGACAGGATACATGTCCATAAACAACTCCCAATTAATCTTTTACATCATATTCTATTGCACCATTTTGCTTGGCACTCTTGGCAGACAATTGAAGGAGCACATTATATTTTTTTAATCTACTTTATTCAAACATTCGTTTTTAATCAACCACCCAAATAGGCCCACACATCTACTCATGCTTTCCTTTTTCATTTATAATAGTTTGGTTTTTTTTTTCTTCATTGGGGCCATCATGCATGCTTACCTCAATAAATACTACTAGCAACAATAATGAAGTCTTATCCTACTAGTTTGGATCGGCTACATTAATCAAATGACGTCATTGTTTTTTTTATCAAGTACTCCGTACTATATATGCGGTGAGATCATTCACGTGGTCTCCTTTGGCCACTTCATGCCAACTTTTCTTAGTCATGTAGAGTCTTACCCTAATAAATAAAAAACATTCACACATTCAAATTTTATTGTTTTTTTATTTTAATTAGTCATTTAATCAAATAATATTATCATGTCACTTCTTGTTTTGTAGAGCTTTTGATGTAGTTTTAAACTATATAAATTTTATTTTTAAATTCTACACTTATAATCAAATAAATTGAATTGAAAAATAAAGTTAGTCAGACCTCGTAAGAAAGTTTTTTTTTGGACAAGAAATGAGAAGTTAATTTTTTAGACTAATGGAGTAAAATAAAACTCTTTCCGCCCCATAAAACACCTTGCCCTTTCAATTTTAGACGTTTCTTTTAGCAAGTTATACTACCCTCTCCCTCCTTGAGTTTTTGTCCACTTTCATTTTTGCACACCATCCAATGCACTTCTTTAATCCATTTTATCTTGTAATTTGTATATTAAAAAATTATAAAAATTATATATTAATAATCTATATGTTAAGACGAATCAAACAAGATCACACATGACTATTTTTAGGCTTACACATTGAGAGAATTTGATGAGTCAAAGTACTTAGATGAACAGTTCCAAAAGTCAAAAGTGGACAAACACTCAGGGACGGACCAAGTAGTATTTATATTTATGGTAGTATTACTATATCAGTCAATCAGCCACTATATTGGAAGAATCATAATTCATGTCAGGATCTCCAGATTTATATATACTACTCCCTCTGTTCTCAAAAATACTTCTTCTTTCATTTTTTTTCACTTCCAACAAAATACTTCCACTTTCTATTAAGAAACCACTTTTAACCTTACTTTTTCATATCCTACTTATCACATCATACTTTTTCTCTAATAATCTATCCATCACATCTTACTTTCACTCATCACATCAGGGACAAAATTGGAAGTCAACTATAATTTAATACTTCTTTATTTTACCTCCAAGTCAAAGTAAGAACCTTTTTGCAAACGGAGGGAGTACCTTTTACTCTCCTTATTCCCTGAGTAAACATATTATTCCAATATTCAACATGGTATTAGAGCGTGATCCATCTCTCTCCCCTCTCTTTTTATAACACCGGGGAAAAAAATTACAATTAGGGTTCCTTCCCTTCGGTGATCACCAGGCCGCCATCAATAAAAAATCCAAGGGATCGTCTGTAACGCCCCAAAGCACAACCTAAAATTTATTGAATTAAATATTCAACTAAATAAAATTTGTTTTGATTAAATAAATTTTTTATTAGGCTTTTGGGCGAAAAATAAAATATGTTTTGATATCCAATATCACAATCAAGATAAATCTCATAGAGATAAATCCAATATGTTGATTATTTGGGTGGTTTTGATTGGAAACTAGAGTACATGCTCAAATCAAGAATAAATTAATATGTGATGAAACGATTTGTTAAAATAAATCATGGGAATAAATGATATGAATTAAATGAGGGAACCTTTTTGAATAAAGGTCAAGTAAATAAATTTTTGACTCTGTCAAAGTCAAACTTCCAAAAATATGATGTCGGAAAAAGTATTCCAAATAAATATAAAAAGTATATCGTTGAATAAAACTCGACTGTCTGATTGCAACGGTTCAAACGAAATTCAATTTGGAGAAAGTTGGACAAAAAAGTATACCCCGACTGGACCAAAATTAGTCCCAATCAAGGATAACTTGTAAAATCCCAGAAGTGGCGCCGCTCCTTCCACTAACGTGAAATCACCGATGAAGCTACAAGGACTCTAATGGCATTATCCTCCTCTACTCCCCTATATAAGACTACCAAAAGCTTAGCCATTTCTTCACCAAATCTTGTAATTCTTCCTTCTATTCTGTTGCCCTAAGTGAGGAGGACGCAATGGTACCGTCATTTTGGTGAGAGGTTGCCGGAGTTGGAAGTAATCATCACCGGAAGTTTCATTGGAAAATTTTTAAAATCATCGTTAAGCTTCGAGGTAAGCCCGTAGATATATCTAGTGACTAGAATGTTCATATAGTTCATTTGGTTGAGTTTTGTGTTTGACATGCTGGAAGAACCAAGAATCATAAGCCTTGAATTTAATGTTAAAACTATGAATTAATGTTACAAAAATGATCTATGAACCTTAGAGAATATTTTTATATGCTTTAATTGAAGTTTGGTGATTAAAAATAACATTTCCGAAAAATGGCTCGAGGAAGAAGACGATGAATAATCGATTATTAACTTAAAAATCGATTATTCATCGTTCTGTAGATTTTTGAACATAGTAGTACAACAATCGATTATCACAATCTGACAATCGATTATCAGCCTGCTCTGAAAAAGAAACTGAAAGCAGACAACTGATTATCAGAATGTGATAATCGAATATCACCCTATTCTGAAAGTAAGATAATCGCCTATCACCCTATTCTGAAAGTCAGATAATCGATTATCACCTATGATAATTGATTATCTCCCTACTCTACTGAAGAAAATGAAGCCAGTAGCTATTAATTGATTTTCCCATCATATATTGTCGAAACACGGGTTTAT